TAACAACGAATCTCTAGGATAAGGCAGCCAAAAGAGAAAAGGATAATAAACAAATAATAAGTCATGATGGTGGCCATATGACCTTTCCCCACCACCAGTTCTTTCTACCTGCATAACATTTTCCATGTTTGCTTCATGTAATGTAAATCTTTGTTTCTATCATCTTTTGACTTTTTGTGTTCTCCACAGAAACGCTAGAATCTGTGGACTAAGTGTGGGGGTGATATTCAAAGGAGACAGGGAAATCGTGGATTAGGTTGTACTTGTTTGTAGGTCAAGTTATAAACATATATTGAGTGTTGAACTTGTCCAAATACAGTTTTAGGTTTAAATCTTTTTCAATATGAAATTTTAACTTTGAAAAATACGATTTCACTTTTATGAGAAGGAAAAAAAAGAAGAAGAAATAAATTCCTATCTATAAAATTTCTCTCTAAATATCAATTATACCAAATTCACAAAATTTTACTTTAAAATAAGAGTTCTATTAAGTGTTACATCATTGAGTCTCTAGACGAGGCTTTCATTGTAGTTGGAACAAATACATATTTGATTGTAAATTGAAATGTGACAAATGACGTAATATATTTGCACAGCCGGCAAAGGCTAGCGTACATCTGTCGTACGCTGTACACCTGTGTTCACATCTATAAATTATTTTCTGTAATTAAATTAGTATTAGTAAATAATAATTACAAGTACAATAATTAATTAAATATTCCATACAATTTAGTCCCATAACTTCTTACTGTTTGTTACATTTATATCAAAATCATTTACGCATATATATTAACATATTCATTGGATTTGATTTCCTTTATTGTCCAACATAATCATCCAAAATAGAAACTTACCTGAACTGTGGCTTAAATGACACCATATTGTTCCAAAGTTAAATCGAAAGAGCAGCCCCTGTTCCATATCAAGATTTTCATTGCTTCAAGGCACTATTGATCTCAACTGTGTTTTGTTCGGATTTTAGGGTTCTTTACTTGAGCTAGGTATCAAAGTTTTCATCACGTTCATGTACAAAGGGACAACCTCTTCCTAAACAACTTGCTTCAAATACTCTCTGACTTGGTCCTTAAAGTTTCTGCACATTAGTATTTTCCACTAGGTTGATCGATGAATCGAGAATTGCGGACGGCTTGAACGCACATGATAATGGAATTGGAGAGATGAGAAAGCATAGCTATTCCAGTGGATTTGGGGTTTAATTTGGGCAGGGGTGAGATGGAAACTTGGGATCATAAAGAAGATGATGGCGGGTCGATCAGAATAGGTGGAAATAATAGACCGGAAGATAGAGAAGGACAAAGGAGAATTGAAGACTAAAACCAGTCTTTCACTTCTGATAAAATTGATGGACGGTAGAAATTGATAGGGACTAAAACGAACAAACAATTAATCGATGGATATATGATTGTAATTATCAATATAATTAATTTAAAGTTAATTAATAATTAATTTATAGGTGTGAACAGAGGTGGATAGCGTACGTGAAGTGTATGCTAGCCTGAACCTTGCACAGCCAGCATTTAGTCCCCCTAGATTAGTTCTTTTGGCTGAACAATCATTTATTGAAAAGATCACAGTGAGTTGTGGGTGACGCTTGCTTGAGTTGTATGATATCGCTCGACAAGAAAAAGAATCGAGTCAATCGAATTCGATGACTATTTTTTCTGTTTAAAGGCATCTTAATTAATTAAATATACTCGAATATAAACCTTCTCACTAGAGCTCTTCCCTCTCTCCTTTTTCCCTTCACCCTTGGACTCACTTAGATCTAGCTACTTCATTCATCTCACTTGTCCCCCGATCCACAACCTTTTATTACATAATATGGTCCAAGTATTTAATAAATTGATTTAACATTAATTTAAACATTATGACTTGTTATAATAATAACGACATTAAAAAATTCGTTTATGCATTGCATACTAACTAAAATGGTCACTTTTCTGTTTTTTCAATTTATATATCAAGAGCAAATTCCCATTTTTTCTTTCTCTCATCCAATCAAATTATGATTTCAACCCACCACAAGTCAAACAAAAGATCCTTTGGCCTTAAATTACGCAAGATGGAAACACGGAAATTCCATGTCATCCCTTTGTTGTGATAAGACTCCTTTTTATCCTTAAAAGGTGACAACCTAAATACCTAATCCTCGTAGGCTGCTATATCCATTTTTTCTTTTTTCTTCCATTTTTTATTTCTATCAAGTTGGAAACACAAAGACATATATATATAAACAATAGAAAGACCCCTAAAGAGTATAATTATTTGTCTTAGCTGCCTTTCTTTCTCTCATCACTTTCCAAGAAATTCTCCCTTCCCCTCCTTTACTTCTTCAATTTGGGCTGAGGAAACCAAGAACAGAAGACACACAGAGACATGGGTGCCACTGATTGTCTTAATAATAATCAAGATCAAATGATGTTGTTCCAGCAGCTGCATCCATCTTCAAATCTTCACCATCATCCTAAGAATGATCATCCAAATAATGATGATTATAATGGCCTTAGTTACAACACAGGCTCTTCAACATCATCCCTTGATAAATCAAGCTCATCCACCATTGGATCAGAATCATTATCATCTTCTTGCTCCGACTCTTCGGATTTGATTGATGATGCAACTTCATCATGCTCATCATCTTCATCCTCAGTTTCTAATCTGGGGAGTCATGGTTCAATGTTTGAGCTTTCAGAGCTAATGGCCACTCTTCCCATCAAGTAAGTAACAAGCTTATCTTACTCTCTCTTACTGGTTAATTTTTGTGAAAGTTCCTCTCTTTGTAGAGTTCTCTCATGGTGAAGATACTAAATGGGTTTTCTGTATTTTTCTGTTTAATTAGGAGGGGGCTCTCAAAGTTCTACCAAGGAAAGTCACAATCTTTCACATCTCTAACAAGGGTTGTGAGCATAGAGGACCTTGTGAAGAAGGAGAACCCTTATAATAGCAGCAACAGCAGGAAAAAGATGTTGAAAGGATCAAAGAGCTATGCTAATGGATTGGATGCTTGCAGACCTTACACTCTTCACAAGTCCGTGATCTCGAAGAACAATCAAAACAAGCTGGTTTCGTCGATTTCAAGTTTCCCTGCTAGAAAGGGGAGTTTCCTCAGCAGGCCTCCAATTGGTCCAATTTGTGTGCAAAGGAAGGTCTGATGTTTATAGTTGTCGAGTTGCTAGCAGAGTTGTGGAGAAGATCTGATGTTTATAATTGGATCTCACCAACTGGAGGATTCTTTTTTTTTATTCCCTCTCTTTTACACCTTTCCCATTTTCTTTCCTCTACAGTGGGTGTAAAGATGATTGAAGAGCAAGCATACTGGTTTTAGTTGTAACTGTGAAGCGTAAGAACATATTTTCCACTTCTTCAATGTCTGGATATACAGATAGGGAGAGAACTTTTGCATTCAACTGGTAAAGACAAACTAGAGAGATACTTTAGGAAACCAATTGGGCGCCATTTGAGTTTTCACTATATGGGTTCAATTCAAGACCCTGTTACTCCCAACCTATATATCAAACTCATCAGTGAATGAACGGGGGAAACATGCATCTTTATATATGTATTCATACTCAAAAGTGTACAATTGGATGCAATTAGGGGCACTCATTTATCTCTATCTATGTACTGATTCTAAAAAATGTACATTAGTGGGCAATCGGATGTGTCTATGTATGATATTATGATCACTATTTCAATGGCAGCTCTTTGGATTGCTTGATCCGGAGGCTACTACTACTAATTCCATAGACAGAAGCAAGCTACTACTGAAGAAACTTTAGTAGCACTGTAGCAGTACAATAATGAGGAATTTTACAATACTATATAGTATTGGTGTTACAAGTTTTTGTCTTTATGGTACAATTTGAAATTGTACCTTTAACGTTATGGTACAATTTCAACTTGTACATATACGTTTTGTGTAAATTCTTTTATGGTACAACTTAAATTTGTACCTTTATGTGATAGTACAACTTCAAGTTGTAAAGTTGTACCATAACATAATTGTACAAATTTCTTTATGGTACAACCTAAACTTATACATTTAATGTTATGGTACAACTTCAAGTTTTACATTAAAGCACCAATACTATATAGTATAGTAGAAGTGCTCGTAGAATCACTTGATCAAATTAAGGCCCAATCACAAAACCAAATATATATAACACAAACTTAGAAATAGAAAGCGACTTACCAGCACCAGCTAGGGGGTGAACAAACACACCCGCAAACCGACCCAACCCACCCGTATTTATCGCTAAAACAAAGGTTTTGGGTTGGGTGAGGGTTTTCTTTTGTACAACCCGCCTCTTTTGGGTTGGGTTTGGATTTTGGATTACACAACCCGTAGAACCCGACCCAACCCGTGTTCCAACTATTAGTATGAGTTCGGATCTAAAAAAATTATGTCGTACATAGTCATATACTTATGAGAAAATTAAGATATTTCGTCATGTTTTTCTCTCATGGTCTCTCTAATCTAATGCATTCTTCGACTTAAAGTTTAGACATAAATTGAATATAGTTATGATTCACGTAAACTTTTTTCTTGTGTAAAATTTTAATAGATTAACATATTATGGATGCGTTTGTTTATAACATTTTTAGCCTATTTCAACAAATATTATGAAAAAAACAAGACATATGTTGAAGTAAATCACATTTTATTAAAATTTAAACAACATTTGTGAATTTTGATACATTTCACCTTGGTTCATTCGTTTGAAATTTTAATTAGTTATAAAATATTTTTATGATATAGAATAATTATATATTTTATGTTGGGTTGGGTTTTTACTTAAAAATATCGCCAACCCGACTCAACCCAATTAGAAACAAACTGTAGGGTTTAAATTTTTTTGGATGGGTTTGGGTTTAATATTTCCCAAACCGTAGTGCATGGGTCGGGTGATTTAAATGACTAAAGCCGAACCACCTGACCCATGTACACCCCTAGCACCAGCACCTCCTTCTTGCTGCTGCTAGGGTTTGTGCCTTTATTGCCACCACTATTGGTGCTGTTAGGATTCCCTGAAGCAGAAGCAACAACAGCAGTCGGTTGATGGTGAACAAGTGGTTTCTTCACCGGCAATTCTCTTCTAACCCCTCAATCCCTATTTCTATCTTCTAACCCCTAAATCCCCAATTCTCTTCTATAATCCCTAAAATCCCAAATGTCGAGTTTCTTCGCCGGCAACACGAGACGCGCAGGAGGCGCTAAAGCTGGCTGTGGGCGTGCCTCATAGCATTCGGGTGAGGGATCTGCCGCCATCGAAAGAGACGGAGAAGGAGCCGCCTAAGGAAGGTGCGGAGCGAGATCGATGGGGTTCTACACCGGCGGCGCGCTCGGCGGCCACTCCAAACACGGCGACAAAGCATGCGAAGCCCGTGTCGAAGACGGTCGGATGATCACCCGCCACCCACCTGGTTGTCCGCCTAACTCCGGAGGTGGAATCTAAGTGGGGGCTGCCGGTGAATGGGACGAAGGAGTAGAGGGAGGGCGGCTTTGTCTTTAGGTCGGCCGCAGGGCGAGCCGCCGCACAGCAACAGCTATAGCCCATACTAGCGGGTCGGGTCCTTTGGGCCGGAGGCCAAGATGAAGCTGAACGAAGTGGTCTGGGTTTCGGGATCGCACTCTCGGGAATCAATTCGGGTCGAAAGGAGATGCAGAATGGGCCGAGACTTGAGCTAACTTGGGCTGAGCAGAAGTCTGCGTGCGGGCCGAGCCAAAGAAAGACCAACCGATCTCAACGAGAAGATGGACTCCTTGATCTTGATCATAAAAGACTTGGGCTTATATTGAGCCCATTGGTTAAATCTCACTTATATGATCTTTGGCAGAGAATAGACGAGAGTGGCCCTTGTTGGCAAAGAAGGTTTAAGCCCAACGTGGGCTATGACTTGAGGATGGGCATAGAATAATGGAAAGTTGAGTTTATGGGCTCAAAGAATAAGAGTTCTTTGATTCTAACTTTGTGGAGTTTGAGAAGGAGGATGAGGGGTCATTTGGTCATTGTTGCAACTTGAGTCACGTGGATTGGGTAGAAGCCATTGAAATTGGATTTGCTGGTGTGAGAACCGTTCGAGTAGTGGAGCACGATTGGAAGAAAAGACAACGCAAGAAGTGGAGGGGCCAAAGCGTGGATTGCACAGGAGACACGAAGAAACGGGTCGAGATGATCAACCTTGAGGGCAAGGTTGGTCTCAAGGGGGAGGGAATGATAGAAACATGTTTCCTTAGGGAAAATGGGTTTTCTATCATAAATATGATTAGTTTTAGTATTATTATTATTAGGATATTTAGAAATAAGGTTACTAGTGTTTTAGTAGAATTAGGTTTATTATTAGGTTTTCCTATATTTCCCATAAATATGTAATCTAGGGTTCATTATCAATCAAGCAAGAACAATTATTCAGAAAGTATCTCGCAAAAACCTAATCCTATAATTTCTCGATCCCACTCCCTCCAAGGCTTCGGCCAATTCTATCTTTCTATTCTTCTTCTTCCCCAAATTCCCTATCTCAATCCCTATTTCTATCTTCTAATCCCTAAATCCCAATTCTCTTCTATAATCCCTAAAATCCCAAATGTCGATTCAATTCGCAAACTCGTTAGAAACTATGTTTCTAACATCTTCTTCTCTAACCTCTTTTTTTTATAATGACCTTCTCTAACTTCATCTTCATCTCCTCAATCTCCCCAAGTAGTTCAACTGTTGGTGCTCCAGTACCGGGTTTCAAGGAGACAACCCTTCTTTATGGCATTACTACATTGATAGGATCTATGGACGTAGGGTCATAGAGTCTTCTTTTTCATCTTCCATCACTCCAACTTCCCATTCTCAAATATTTCATCATTACCATTTGGTTCTTCAATTGTTGCGGTTACTTATTTCTTGGTCATTAAGTAATCGAGTCCTAGTCCATATAGTATTGGGCCTTGAGTGTCGTGTCCCATTAGAAGAACGCTACTCGGTCGTCCTTAGGTTTTAACCTAAGCTTTTGTCTATATATAAGTCTTGGCTACAGTCATGTCGTAAGCAAGCCGTCACAATGTACTCGTTCAATAAAACTTCAGCCGTGAGCTCTTCCGAGCTCACCGCGGATTAGTCTCGATCAATCGATCGAGGATAACACGTAAAACTCGTTGTCTCGTGTTTCTTTCAATTTCGCGTCATCAAATTCTACATGGTATTAGAGCTAACCTCGGTCTACTAGGTTTTCTGTTTGATCTTTCGTAGTCTCTTTCCGCAATCAACAAACGTCCACCAGTCAAGGGTTTTGAGTTACAAACGTCGGATATGATGCCTCTCCGTGGTACGTAAAAATGACATCATCAGACCATGTCCTTCGTTCTTCCATCTACTCGGCAGTGAGCGCGACTCAGAGTTGCTGCAAAATCTCCCTGTTGATACCCATTGTTCCTCTTCCCTCATCGGAGCTATCCACTTCCGACGCCCAGTTCGTCACAGCCACAAGAAGGCACGGTTGGATCATTGGCAATTCGCAGTGCTCACTCTCTGGCAGTGCATCTCTAATCCAGCGCTAAGTCCATCAAGTCCATCAGCGTCTTCGTCAAGTCTAGCTTGGTGCGCACAAGAAGGTGATGCTCACCCAGCTCAATTCGAGCGCCAAGTCCCTCAAATCAGACGTTGATCTCGTTTCTGTCTCCGTCAATATCGACAATAATCAGGGGTTTGATTTTCAGATTCAAATCATTGTCTACGTTGCTGATTTTTATTCTTGACCTGATTCATCATGTCGGAAGAAGAGTCAAGCTTGATGACAACAGGCTTTCGCCATCAATCGTCAAGCGGGAGGAATAAATTAGTTGTGGTCGCTAAGTCATAGGCTACAGCGGTGTGGTAGTCATCTCATCGAATCTTCTTTGAAGTAGAATTCAGTCCGTATTCACCGAAAGTCAGACTACCATCCCTCATTTGTCTGTTTTATTGGTGTCAAAAGTTGCCACCCCACTGCATCCATCGCGGCATGCTATTCACCTTTTTGAAGCAACTCGGAGCAGAAGGAGCTAATTATTCATTTTTAGCTCATCATGGGTTGGTTTAATAGTTGAGTAAAAGCCTAAAAGGTCACGCGAAGCTGAAGTAAATCTCAAGTTCATGTCATTTGCCGTCCGTACCAGCCGATTAACCCTGTCATTACTCAAGCAGTCCCAAGAGATTCATCCAGCATGTGTTTTTAGATCAATCTTCACGTGTCACTTTTGCATCAGCTCATGCAAGTTGTTGGCGACACAGTTCGCTTCGAATTTAGAGTGGGTCGCACTCCATTGCATCTCTATTGGAATAATTTGTCGCTTCGACGGGTTATTGACAAGTCAAAATCTAGATCATCATTTTCCTTCATCAACGACCAGCATTAGTCGAAGGCAGCTACCGTCATTGTGAAGTTTTGTCATGGTTGTTGTTAGGCTGTCATCAAGATCATGGAGGTCATGTCACTGGCTATGTCGCTGTGATGCAGGGATTCTTTTGGGTATGCAATTTCATTATTGTAGTTGCATTCGTCTCATTTGTTGAACAGTGTTCGTCAAGCAAATCTTTACCAACATCATAGTCATGATGTTGAAGACAATCATAACATGTATTTGTCGTCCCTTCCATAGCTAGTGCTAGGGAGATAGTACAACTTTTGTCAACAAAGATTGTCTAGTCTTGAAGTGAGGCAGTCACGATCAAAGAAGTGATCATCCCCTCCGCGTTTAGCATCGATCAATGTTGAGTCATTACCATTCTAACTTTCAAGCTGGTCATTGACGTCGTTCATGCTCCAGCTTGATGGCAGGAATAGGAGGTCAACATACGTTGGTAAATTAGCTCAATTTTCAAGTCGACCGCCCCGATCTATCTGTCAGGAATTTCAAGAGAGGCAGTCATTCATCTCTGTCATTGAGTTCAAGAGACGCAGTCAACCATCTCCGTCAGGAAGTTCAGAAGACGCAGTCAAACATCTTCATCAGGTTGTTCAGAGAGAGAGAGAGTTAGTCATCTCCAAGTCAACCTCGTCTGAGATGCCATTCATCTTGTGTTTTGCTGTACAAGCTCGTCCTGCTTGTTCTTCACTTGTTCCTTTCAAGCTCGACATTCTTGTCATTTACGTTTTTCACTTTAGGGGGAGTGTTGCGGTTACTTATTTTTTGTTCATTAAGCAACCGAGTCCTATTCCATATAGTATTGAGCCTTGAGCATCGTGTCCCATTAGAAGAAGGCTGCTCGATCGTCCTTAGGTTTTAACCTAAGCTTTTTTCTATATATAAGGCCTAGCTACGGTCATGTCGTAAGCAAGCCGTCACAATGTAGTCGTTCAATAAAACGTTAGTTGTGAGCTCTTCCGAGATCATCATGGATCAATCGATTGAGGATACCACGTAAAACTCTTTGTCTCGTGTTTCTTTCAATTCTGCGTCATCAAATTCTACATCAATCACCCTCTAATGAACCATTTCATTAAAACTTTCCACAGAAGAATCCACTCGGTCATTGCTTCCATCGATCTTTTCTGATTTATATCTCCCCCCCCCCCCCAAATAAATGCTTTTGAGCCTCATCCCCTCAAAATCCCCAAGTAGGTGACACTTGATGCTCCACTAGATTCAAGGAGGCACCCCTTCTTCTAGGGACTACTACAGGATTTAGAACCTTCCCATTCTTAAACAAGTCTGCATCATCATTTAGGTCTTTACTTGCTCTATAGTGAACCATTTCAACGACTCTTTCCGCACAAATATCCAACATCTCATCAACCATGTCATTGGAGCTTTGTGCCTCTCTAATCTTAATATCTTCAGTAGACTACAATGAATGAAGTGGGAGTAATAGCAACGACTCTCCTTCTTGAAACGCCCCATTTTCAAACAGACCATGATCATCATATGGCTCTTGAAGTTATAGTGAACCATTTCATCAGCATCATTTTCCATGGAAGCATCCATTCCACCAATCAAGCTTTGTTCTTGTTGGATCTTTGTAGGATGCGGTGGAAGAGAAGGTGTTTGCTCAAACAAATCTCCTTCTTCTTCTTCGTGAACCTCCAGGTCCATGGCCACAGCTTGTTCACCTGCTAGAATCTCTGTCTTCGTCACTTCCTCTGCTTCATCTTCTTCACATACATCAAGATCAAGAGGGATGTGATGTTCGACTATCTCCAACGGTAAGCAGCGTTCATTAATCGCTTATCTAGGAAGCAATTCAAGTGGGCAGTTCTTAACCTCTTGAGGAAGACAGACAACAACTTGAATAGGTCTTTCAATACCAACTAGGTCATTTAGCGAAGCAAAATGAACGATGCAGAGTGACAAAATGGCCAAACAAAGAACAAATTGAAATACCCTTCCAAAAACTGAGTGTAGCTTCCCATGTGTCTTATTAAATCGAACGACAGAGGTCGCTGTGGATGATGTTTCTTCATTCCACAGTCTTGCTTGCAAATTACAAGCAAGAGAACGATGTTGGTGTCGATAAACCTTTACTTTATTATTCAATAACTGGAACTAATGCCGAACTTACATATATATAGGCTGGAAAAGCCTAATATGCGACCTAAACCTACCCGAACTCCCTCTCCTATTCGGCTACCCTAACCCAGACCCAAAAGGAAACTACAACAACAAGGAAAAGGCTAAAAGGGGGTGTTAATGATGGTGAAATTGCATCTCATCAAGCTTCTGCATCTTAATTCTCGAGTCGTCTTTTGTCATCCAAAGGATGGGATTTTGTCATTTATCATCCCCCAACTTCGGGCGCTCGCAATAGAAAATTTAAGGGAGCGGAGAGACACGAGAATGGATTGTTATATGATTCGTAAACTAATTCTGCATGCAGTTTATCTGATCATACGGATTTTTAAATATGTCATTTTGTTATCTGATCAAT